TGAGCCATGCCAGTTGGCTCCTCTTGATGTGGAGAAGAAGTAGCTTTACTCAGAGCCTCTCCCACATAACCAAGCTCCTCACCCTACAAATGGTAAACGGTCTGTACATATATAGCACTTTTTTAAGTCAGGAGACTTGACCAAAGTGCTTTACACTAGGTTCAATCATTCACGCTTACACTCACACACTGATGGTGGCAAGCTACATCGTAGCTACAGCTGCATTGGGGCGAGGCTGCCGTACACCGTCACCACAGGCCCTCTGAACACCATCAATGCAGGTCAAGTGACTTGCCCCATGACACTACATTGAAAGCCGTAGCTGTAAGGAAAACTCCTGCATCTGACGACACGGTGGCCCCATACAGGGGAGTGCCCAGCCACCTGGCAGAGAAGGCTCATTTCAAAGGCCTGTATCCAGGGTCTCGTTCTTTCAGCAATGATCCAGGGTTCATGACCTGGGTGAGGTTAGATACGTAGACCGACTGGTAAATCCCGAGCTTTGCCTTCTCATTCAGCTTTCTCTCTGTTTTTTTACCACAATAGACTGTTGCAGCTTCTGAATTATAGCAGTAGCCGCCCCAATCCATCTATCAATCTCCTGCTCCATTCACCCCTCACTTGTGGGCGGTGTCACAAGATAGTTGAACTCCACTTCTTGAGGGAGCAACATCTCTCAGACATGACAACAGATTATGACAGAAATTGTAATCTTACTCAGATCAGATAATTTAGTTAACATTACAAATGGCAGCTTAAACCAACCGGGCTTGCTTCGCGTTTATACGACCCCGAATCCCAGTTAAAGAAGTATTTTATACCTGTGTTTTTCAATCCTGGTCCTTAAGGCAACTGCTCTGCATGTTTTGGATGTTTTTGAGGTTCAGCAAATCTGATTCAGATGATTGCAGTTCAGCAAAGCCTGACAATCTGCTATAAATTGATAACAGGTGTGTGAAAGCAGGGAAACATCTAAAACAAGCAGGGCAGTGTGCCTTGAGGACCAGGATTGAAAAACACTGTTTTATACAACTCCAGTAGGCCACATCATCACATCATTACATCATACACGTTTGTAAATAAGGAGATATCCATCTACTTGGGAAAACAGTTTTGACTCGTAACAGGCAGGGATGATCAAGGTTTAACAGACTCACACATAATCCTTAATTAAAAATAATCCTAACAGTAGGAAGTAGCCAGAAGAACCATGTCATGTGCAAAACCCAGAGTTTATGCCAGGAATAGAGGCAAAATTTCTGCCCTGCTTGTACAGAGACCGGATGGCCCGTACAACTAAGGTGCCTCCCCCCCACAGGTCACATGTCTTCTCCAAGTCCACATGCAACTCCACACGATGTTAAAGAGGTGCATCAGCCATACCAGCCCAATAACATCCAGAGACCTAAGAGACTGATATCAGTCTCCAAAGACTTGCCACCATGGAGTTTTATTGACTACCTCGGTGACTTCAGCCTAGGTGATGTGTGAAACCAGCCCCGAGCATCTTGCTCTTCTTCTGCCATGTAATGTGAGTCAGCTGGGTCTAAGATCTAAAGAGAAGCGTCATCTCCTGGTCAGATCCTGTAATTCAGTGAAAGGGTGGAGTCAGAGTACAAAAATACGCAAGAGGGGGTCACTCCAGTGGCTTGAAGTTGGAGGAGATGTTGCTGGGAGTTGATGGGAAATGGGCTGTCATTCGGCAGGCATTTGACTGGGAAGGACCAATTTATATGGCTGCTACTGTACCAGACGCATCCATGGCTGCGAATATAGGATCAGGCAGGTGCAGGGTTGTAGATGAATAAATAAAAAAATAATCCGTACAGCCTCAACTGTTTATAATATTTTGTGCTTAAATTGAAACATGCCACACAAGCAGAAGTCTATAAATCGGATAGGCTAGCTGGAGCCTGTATGGAAAGCCAAAAATGCCATATATGCAATACATTAAAAAGTGGCAAGGTTTCTATTTGTAAATGAAAAAAAAATTCATGTTGGGTGCATTTTTATTTTATTTTGATTTTCCCCTACATTGACCACAAGCATGTACATGTTTCAGTTACTGCTCTCTATTTATTCACTGGATTGCTGATAGCCCGTTGGTAGTACGGGATTGAAGTGAAGCCACCAGCCACCATATTGGTACTCCCTTGTTAGACTGGTCGCAATGTAAACAATATGTTTACATATTCAGGGGGACCTAAGACTTTTCAAATAAAGAATAATTCATCGCTTTGACAAAGATTTGCTGTTTCATAGCATAAGAAGATTACTTTAAATAAAATAGGCACATCACATTGCATAGTCATCATGAAATAAATAAAGTCTCTAAATCATGTAATATAACACATTATACTAATCCATCACAATAAAAAATGTGTTAATGTAGCATAATAATACTGTAGTACCAAAATGATTGAGTTGCTTTTTTCCGTCAATATGACATGGAATATGTATTTGAGCACATGACTTTTTCAATACAAAAAACACTACAAAAACGACAGCGTCATCCGCTTGTTAATGAATTACTACGTTGACATTTCACAGTGAATTAATTTCTATTTACTCTACTTTCTATTTTATTACGTTAGACACGTCAATGGCTAATTTAGCCAATATCTTCGAGTTGGTCCGAGATAACCAGACTAATGTTACGCTACATACAGTACTATACTATAGGATACATTGGCATACATGTTGATTTTCAATTGGTTAGTACATCCACTGACTTCCCACAGCCGGCAAACTGCCTGTTTTTGAAGCCAAATGCTACACATGTAGGATTTTTATTGCATGTCTCTGACTCTGAGTGGAGAGTAGCAGCATGGTAGACGGGAGCTTCACTTTTCTCAGGGAATCCATTGAATAAATATGGTGGTTTCACTCCAGGGTGTCAGTTTTTTCATTATCTTGAAACCTTGTTTGTCCGGAGTCCATTCCTACAGACCTTTACTGTAACCTTTGTTTGGAAAAGTGCTTACTTCTACCTAATAGATGTGCTAGTTTCTCTTTCGTTTTTTGTGGGAACAAACCCATATTAATCATATTACTACCACTTAAAGGGCTGGAGTGAGAAAAAATTGTCTCTTAGTCTTTAAATGTTACGGGACAAAAATTGAGAACCTCTTTGAGGCACAGCATACCTCAGAGTTTAACAAAATATTAGGACTGGGACTGCAACATGTCAATTTTAAGTAATCATTTAATTGTTAAGATTTTTACAGGTTAAAAAGAAATAATACAATTAAATGCTTTTTGTAAATATACATATTAGATTCAGAACCTTTTTATTCGCCGTTTCTTAAACACCCGGAAAACTGACTCTTGACTACTGGAAGTAATCAAGCTCAAAAACCCTCTCAGTGAAACTTATGCTGCAGCAGCACAAACGTTCGCGAAGCTAACGTCACGTTCAGTCGGCCAGCATCGTTTCAGATGACGAGCTTCAGAGCCATCATAAGTAAGTCCGAAAGAATAAACAACTCCCCTGAAAAAATGTGTTGCAACATGGATTATTTGTCTTAGGAAACGGCTTAAGAACAAAAGTGGTCCATGTGGTATACATGTTTAAATGTAATAAATGATGCTGGGGCCATAAGAGAACAGAAAAAAAGAACCCGGAAAATGACTTCATAGTTAACTGTCCTCATCACAGTATTCAGCAGTAGTATCACAGTTATATATTCCCTCATCATTTTGGTTATTGACGTAGATTGTAAAAAAAAAAAAACAATGTCTTAATTTAACTTGTTTGTATCCTAAAAAGAAAAAAAAAGTCTATATAATAAATGTCTTCTGTTTTTCTACTTTATAGCCACTCCAACTGCCTTACTTCTCTCGCCTGCAGTGTGCTTTAGAAAAATAAGAGCATAGCTGGTGAACAATAAAGGCAATGACATAATTTAGGGACTTTTAGAGCAGCCTTAAAGCTCCTTACTGAGGAACTGCCAGCTATGCATAGAAGCCTAGAACATGCATAGAAGCCTAGACATTATCTAAGACAAAGAGTATGTTGTACCTGCCGAGTTTATTGCATCGCTGTTAATACTCACTTTTAAGGCAAATTTGGAGTACTTAAAGAACAATAAGGTCAGAGCAGAAACAAAAAGCAGGCCTGGCATGCACTAAATGACGGGTTCACCTGGTTAAAAGATTTAAAATATAAGGTTATACATTTACTGTTCTACATGTGTTTAATGAGCTCATCAGTTTTTGCTCCCTGCTCTGTACTGTAACAACGCTTTGGCTTAAAGAGCCAAATGGATTTTATTAACAACATTTATTGCAAAATTTCTCTTGCCACATTTCCCATTACAATTCATACATCCATTACATTTCATCTCCAACAAATCAATGCAGTTTGACTCTGCAACAATCATTTATTCAGCAATAGCTGTTTTAATCACTAATAGTTTTATGATAAAAAGTCCAAATCCTGCTATAACCACAAGATGCATGTTGATTTGCATTTAAAATCAAGCTTTTCAGGATTTTTTTAGCTGTAATTTAGTCACCTCTGTATTTTTTTTATTATTATTTATAATTTAAATGGTTTCAAAAAATTATTGTATACCTATTTCAAATTTTTATATTTTTGTTATCTATTTTTTTTTTTTTTTGTTTAAAATGATTTTAAAGGTTTTTCACCAATTATGATTAATTCCTGGTGTTATTCTTCATTATTTTTGTTGTTTTTAATTATAAAAAAATTTTTCTACAATTTTTGCACATTCTTAATTTTCCTACTGTTTCTATTTAGATTTTTTCATATATTCTTGCATTGGTTATATGTTTAATATACACACAGATAAAATCTATAATAGATAAAATAGATCTAATTCAAAATCCTAAGCAAGGCTGTATATATATAATTTAGACATGCATATTCACCTTACTTAGGATTACATTCACAAATATTTTTGTGGATTAGATTCACTTTTTTTTCAGTCAAACTATTTTTAAGATAAAATAAGAGTCATCTCAAAGTGCTACTGTACCTTTTCGCCTAGCATCTTCCAAAAGAGGAAAGTTTTCAGAAACTTTCACTTAGAGGATTTCCAGTTGCAGGCGTTGAGGTTTGAAGTTTCATTTGTTGCTTGATGGTGGGAACATACAGAAAAAAATATATATATACTTCCGAGGTGAAGTGTAGCATACTTCTGAGAATCTCGCAATCTCGTGTAGCATACTTTTCTTTTTTATTTCCAGTGTTTTCATAGGACAAATGTTTTTTTTATAAATGTAGTTTGCTTCGATAGAGAATCAGATGTTGCAACCAAAATATCAACCAAATGCATCCTGTTTATTATTAATTTCCTTTAACTCACCTAGCAAGAAGAAAAAAAGACATAATCCAATCCGAAAAAAAAATCTATGCATTTCACCTGCAGAAATGAAAAATCCCACAGCAAGGAGAGAAAAAGTTGCAAAGCAGAGCAGGTGAGGTGAGGAGTTGAGCATCCTGCCGTCTCTCAGTGAGGAAGATACATTGAAAGTCAGCCTCTCTGCCTCCTTTTATCCTCCCTCTTTCTCTCTTCCCCTGCTGCCTCACTTTGGCTTTTACCCTGGCTTCAATGTGTGCGATTCCTGTGTGTGCAGTGAGGGACCTCTTTCAGAACAGCAGGAATATATTATAACCCAAACAAAAGGAGCCGGCTTATTGTTTATGAATTACCAGCCTTCCAAAGCCAACAAAGGCCCCTATTTTCATAGAAAACTCCATTTTCATTTCAGCTCCATTTGATTACCGGAGCAAAGAAAATAAAAAGGCCTCTCCGGTCGCAATGTCCAAAAGGGATTCATTTCTTCTTCTTTCTCTCATTCAGCTCCTCTGAAAAGGTTTCTTTATTGCTTTCTTTTCAGTCCCGACATCAAAATGGGCTTTTAGGAGTAAACCAATGAAAAAAAAAAAAAAAAATTATTGCTCGCCTGTTTTGTACAATAACCAGGGCAGGGGAAAGAGAGGAGTCCTGTTTTGTCTTTGTCATCTTTCTTTTGCTTTTCTTCTGCTCCTTTCTGCTACTGGAGAAGAAAATTGCAGAGGCTGAAAATGAGTGGCACAGCTTTGGAGGGAAGTGAAATGCATAAAGCAACAATACAAGTCAAGTATAAATTATCACCGACTAATGAAAACCACAGGGAAAGATAAAGTAAGGCAGGGGAGAGCTTTGAACTCATTGTCAGACATGTACGGTGTCTCACAAAAGTGAGTACACCTTTCGGATTTCTGTAAATATCTTTTCATTTAACAATTCTGACAATTCAATGTAACAAAGTCCCAATGCAGCTTGCATTAATTGTTAATTTGCCCTCCCCTTAAATTAGCCTAAAGCACACTAATGTTCTAACACATGGTGACAAAAGGAAAGTACATCCATAATCCAAATTTCGCCAAAGGCCAGCATTATTTTCAAGCAGTGCTTTAACTCTCATAGCCATGGAGTTCACAAGATCTCCATAGGTTCCCCTCCATCCCCGTGACAACATCACAGAGTGATGGAAATCTTCAATCCTTTGATTGATAGACATGATTTCTTTGACAGGGCATCCATCATCTTGTTTTGGACTGTTGTATCGTAAACCTCCTTTTGGCCCAGTTTCCCGGGGGAATATTATAGTTTATAGTAATATTATAGTTATATTATAACTAACTTGTAATATAACTAACTATAAGTTAGCTATATTTCTTTAATATAACTAACTTCAGCCTGTTTGACCAACCAATCACAGACCCGATTCAGTGGCGCATCAGATGTTTGTAAAGCGAGATTCTCAGGAGTGACAGTGGTGACAGCCAATCACACAAAGCGGTGGGCCAATCAGGAGGTTGTGGGCGGTCTAAACACAGGGAAGCGGGCTTGACATTGAGCTGCAGTTTTCCGCTTGGTCCTAGTGCGTGAAGAATTTTTGTGTACTGTATGGTAACATTGGTTTTGGACAGTAAAACGTGCTGTTGACCAGAACGGACCTTTGAAAAAATGCAGGGGACATGTCACCCCATCCCTCTCTCCAAAATTACATCCATGCCCAAAGCCTTGACACTCCCATCACCATGCTTGACTGTTGTTGTACTTCTAACCAGGTTGCCGTTTTTAAGTGAGGCACAATGCTTCCAGTGATGAGATGGTGTAATAGTGCGTTTACACCGAATGCCATTCCAGCCACTTTTTTTGCCACATTTGGATGATGTCCCTTGATTTGCATTGCGGCTGATATCCCCCTCTTCTGTAACTTCACCGCATCGGTGAATTGGAGGAGCCTCCATTTGCTGCTTGTTGGTTTTGCCTCAACATAGCGGATCTCCATTTTACAGTGTGAGTTAGGATGGAGTGAGAGCATGAAGCCATGCAGATTGAGCACCCAAGCTGGGCCGTGCCTTGTTCTACAGTAGAGCCCAGGGAGGATAGCGCAAGTGTAGCACCTCAACCAGGTCAGAACCAGACAGAGGCGACAAGTACAAGAGAATGATGATTTTTGAATGTCCTGTTTAAGGTTGAATTAAAAACAGCAATGCTAGAAGTGTGTCTGTTGCATTGCTTTACATGGTTACACTCAACATAAGTATAACATGCGTCCAGTTGCTGGAATGGAATCAAGTAAGAATAATAAAAATAAAGACACTGGAGTTGTCATATGACCTGTTACGTTAAAGGGTCATATGACAACTGAGTGGCAAAACAGCCAATTTCATTGCCAATGTAATAACTACTACCGTTGCCAGAGATTTAGACATCAATGGTTGTGTGTTGACTGACTCCTTAACATTGAATCAAAGTAAAAAAAATTACACTTTTTGTACAAATTTATGGGGTTTACTGACTTTAAGATGTTGGGTTTAGGGCCAGAAACAAAACAACCCTGATGGTGATGTGTAATTCCCTTAATAGCAGGGTCGGTAAATGTGAGGGATTCACTGAAACAAACTATTTTACTTACAAGAGTAAACAAAGAAGTAGATTTTAGATCGTTTGATTCATTAAGGGGAAAAAAGGCTATCCAGACAAACCTGGTAGTGAAAGTATGACAGCCTCAGGAGTCAAATCATCTCATTGGTTTTATCATCGCCTCTCTTCCCCAAGTCTTTTTAATCCATTTCCCTTTGGTATTAATACATTTTTGTTCATAATTTTAAGTTGAATAGGTAGGTCCCAGTCAATAGATGAAGAAATTTGAATATTTATCACAACAGAAAGGCTAAAAGACCTTGAAAACTGGCACATCATATTCATATCTGAAATTAAACAACTTATCAGGAGCAAAGTTTTTCATATCATATGAAGAAAAGTCATTCTTAAGGCTTCAGAGGAAATGCCTGATCTACCAAAAGGACCTGAGAGCAGATTAAGGACTCAAAACAAGTTTACAATTCAGTTTAAGAGAGAGAGAGAAAGATCATGAAGAAGATTGCATTAGTGCCTATGAAAACCTATGTAAATACCAATGCTAAGCAAGAACAGCATAAATATAGGTTTCCTCTTTCTAAAGAGATATCTAAATAATTCCAAAGTTCTTTTGTATAACATTCATTGCAGTAAAAAGACATAAAAAAGTGGAATTTCTTGGGAGGTGAGAATCAAAAACTACCACAGGATTTCAGGGAGAGAACCACAAACTGAAGTCAAGCATGGAGGTAACCATTGCCGTCAATGATCTCACATTTTCAGCAACTTTGAGGAAACTTGAACTAAACGACAAACATATAGGTTAAGAAAAACTGATAGGAGTTGGATGTTCTTTAATCCTTCATAAGGTACTCAGTGAAATACTTTGAATGCAATCTTTTAAGCTAAGAGTATTATCGGAGGATGGGAGAAGACCTTACTACTTTTTTAACATTTAAAAAATATGTCTATTTTGGTGGCAAACATCAAGGTCAAAGTCATAGCAAAAACAACCACTTTCCCTAATATGTTGAAAAAAATAAAAACACAGAGGGAAAGAAACTCATTTTGTTTTTTTTAAAACATAACCTTAGATCATTCATGCTGAGACATTTTTTACATTTTAACTTAACTTACCAACTTTTTAACATATTTTGTAACTTTTCAGTTAGCTTTTTTACTTTTTCGCTTAATTGAATTGAATTTATTTTATATCACCGGTTTAGCCGTTTACCTCTTTTTACTTACCGTAACTTGTTTACTTTTTCAACTTCATTTACGGTAGGTAACATGTCACCCAAGGGCTCATTTTATTGGGAAAATGCATAAATGATGTGTGCATCCATGTAGCATTTTCTTTGCTGAATGGCTGTATATAAATCATGTGCTTCTAGACCCAACTGATAAATGTCTGGGGGACTCCATTTCTAAGGGGTATGTAAGTGATCAAATGGTAACTTGCGCCATAAAGGGTTAATAGTCTTCTGTTTCAGGGTGAAAAAAAGATTTACACCAAGCTGCTTTATAGAGAATGACCCACAGCATTTTTTCCAATATGGATTAAGTGTATGATTCATTTTAAACTTGATTCTAAAGGCCTTCATGTTATAACTAAAAAAGCTCTTAATACTTTTCTTCTTTTGCTGCTCAGTTTAAATATTGGTTTGTTTCTGAACAACAACAGTAAAGACATAAAAATGTAATATATGTTCAAATCAACAGAGAAAATAGAAAAAAAAAAAAAGCTCTGACCTTCCATAAGTAACTGCAAATGTCTTTGAAGACTTTGTAAGTTAATGTTCTTAGAATCAGGGATTTAGTTAAAATGAATATACTGTATGGTAGTTTTAATGCAAAATATTTTATATGAAGTACATGATTTTATCTTGATGTTATGGTTCAAAGTCAATTTAAACTCTGTTTTTGGGAGTTTTCAATGATTTGTCTAAAGACAAACACCTATGCTGGTACTGTCTAAGCTGATGTTATGGTAATAGGATGGTTAAAACATTACAGTAAATTATTTTTTTTTCAATTAAAATTCTAAGTTCTGCTGATAAAGCTCTGAAAACATGCATGAATGAGACCTTTATTGGACAACAGGAGAAAATTAATGTACATCATGACCAGTATATGCGATATACTGTATAGACCAAACACCTAGGCATGCACTTTTTCTACAAAATCTGTGAAGGTATTGGTCGCCGTCTGAACATTTCTGAACTCCAGTGTGGGGCTGTGATGCCAGGTGTGAAATGTCCTCTCTCTTAGATATTGCACCATCAACTCGCACTAGTATTGTAAGAAACTAGAACCCACAACTCGGCCACAAATTTGTAGCAAAGCCTAACTGAGCACAGGCAGCAGATGCAGGCAGCACTGCTACAGACCTTCCAACTTTACATGTCCTTAGAATTAGCTCAAGAAGAGAGTTTCATGGAATGGGTTCCCATACATCACAAAAAATAATGCAAAGCGTCAGATACAGCGTAAAGAACGGCACCAACAGGAATCTAGACATCTCTGGAAAGACAAATCCCAATTCTCCATCTGGCGAGGCGGCATTTGATATAGATTGGGAATGGTACTTCTGTAACTGTATTAAGCCAAATCTTGAGTTTAGTGGAGGGAGAATTATG